GTTACTAGTCCTGTTTTTGACACTCCCCTCTTCTGTGTATCATGACTCGTTCGCCATGTTATGCCAGAATCTAAATCACTGATACAGATCGGAAAGACCGATGAGTCAAGAATTAATCCGTGCACCATGGTTTACATCGGCATAGTTTGTGGTTGTGCCCCTGAAGTACAAATGTTATTACTTGTTCATTAACCAGATCTCTACGCATGTGCATACAGTACATTACCTTGGGTTTCTATAACTTCTGATCTATGAATTAAACCCCTTTTTTATGAGAGACTTTATCAAAGGCTTTCTAGAAAGTTTTAGTCTGATCAACTGTTCTTGTCACTTGTTTGAAGAACTCTACTAAATTAGTTAAACAGATCTTGCCCTTTCTAAAAATCCAGAGATGCATGCCTCTTTAAAGGTCATTATTTTGTAAGTTTTCATTTTTTAGTTAGAACCGTTTTTGCCAGTTACTGTATGTTAGCAAGAATACTGATTGGTCTGCAGTTTCGCGGTTCAATTCTGTCTCCCTTTTATGAATTGGTGTTAGATTTGCAACTCTTCCATTTGTGAGTACTACTGCCATTTTTAGTGACAGCTGAAATATTCTAGCTGGGAGCTATAAATAACCCCTTGTTGCGCTGCATGTTTTTGCTGCTTGCTGTCTGTTAGCTGTTCTGTTCAGTTCTACTAGTTTACTATATCAGCTGTGCCTGTAGCTCAGTATACTATATGCTATATGCTATAAACATTCTCTTCCTACTGATTTTTCCAACATCTCCCCATTAAACAATTTAGGCAACATTTTCCTATACTTATAACAATAATAATAATAATAATACTTTATTTTATATAGCACCTTTAAAGGTGGCTTCTCAAAGCGCTTTATAGGATGACTATATATATATAGAGGAGACCTTGAATGGTGGTACTAAGAAAAGCAGAGGGGTGAAGAATGGAACCAGTTGAGTAAAGGCTTTTCTGAAGAAGAGGGTTTTGAGTCTGGAGTTTAGAGAAGGTGACTCTCTGATATCCTTGGGGAGAGAGTTCCAGAGCTTGGTGGCATAACAGGAGAAGGCC